AAAAAAAAAAAAATCGGTACATCAAGTCCGGCCCGACAGTGGACCTTACAAAAACATGAACTCGGTTAAGTTTGAATGGAATGATGGCATCAACTGTTGGAGAAGGGCTAATTTGCCACCGTTGGCGAGTTTAAGAGGTTGTATGCTACTGTTTTCAGTTTAGGGGCTTTTTCTGCCAACTCCCAACAAGTTTAGGGGGTAATTTGCATTATTTGCCCACCTTCATTATCATTTATAATTTCCCCCCTTTTTCATTTGTAATAATAATATAACTTTCCTAGACATTTAACACATATATTTTGCATACCATATTTAGTGCATATGGAGCATTTTATATGTATATAAATAGATTTAATTGTAAAAGACATTTGATAACTAACAAAATAGTTAATATTTATTATTTAACAGTTTAAAATAAGTTTATAAACAAATATTATTATTTAAAAAAATTATAAATTAATAAAATTACAGTTAAAATTAATGGTTTTAGTGAAATCTTTGCCAACAATAACCTCAACTTTTAAGTTAGAGATTTTGAATTTAAATATTAAAATCGATAGAAAGAGACTAAGGAAAGTTAGAAAGTAAAAAATTATCTCTTATTATATATAACCAAACATCTAATTTATTAATAAAAAAAAAAACAAAACATCAACAACAACAACTCTTTGAACGCTTCAAGCTATACCGGCAATTCAATCAATTGAGGAGTGCCTCCTACGATGAGAAGCAATGGTGGCGAATGTGAAGATAGCTGCGACAGACTTTGAGTTAGTATTCCTCACGTCATGTATTAATGGTTTTGGCCATCAACACTTTTAGCTTGTTTGGTGTATGAAAAATAGAAGAAAAAGGAGGAAAATGAAAGGTGCCCCTACAGATTAAAATTGTATACTTTTTATTGATGATAAAAATGATATATTTCATTTATATGTCTCATTCTTCCTTTCCCTTTCCTCTCCTTTTCTTTTCTTCTATAATTATTTTATGGATTTTTTTAAAGGCACAAGCTTTGAAGGTGCATTTTTTTATTTGTTTTGTCATTAATTTATATAAAAATTATGAAAGAA